CTAACAACAAAATCAGTCACCCAAACTGGACACCTTGACTTTTTCTGAAGTGATTTTTTACTTTCTTATCTCCAACATCAAACTGATCACTGCATCTGAAAATTTCTACTGACGAGCTGTTCAACTTCTAGAATGCCTTAATCCCTGCCTTAAATCCATCTCATTACTTCACAAGAGGATAACTGCAGGTTTTTTCTTCCAGTTTTCTCCCACCACAAACTTGATTTTTCCCAATACAGAGATACTAATATGCTGCTCTGTTATTTTCTTTGATGGTTTCCCAAAGTCATAGAATCAGATTCAACTTCATGGCATGGCTTTAGGCATCTTAAAATTTAGCCCTTAACCCCTATTACCCCAGTTACATGTCCATATATCCCACTAACGTGTCTCCTCCTCAGCTGTCCTAGATGATCTCCTCAATATACCATGCCTTTGTTTATGGTGTTACTTCTGCCTACCACTTCATCTCTCTGATATACTGGTATTAATGATCAAGATCCAACTTTCAAACATAAAACACTTAGGCCTCATTCCCAAACTGACACCAAATTAATCACTTCAGCCTCAAAACCTCCCTAGTATTCTGTCCTAACATCTACTATCGTATTGCGCTATTGCTAATTGTGAATATATTCCTTGCCAGACTGTGGATTTGAAGGCAAGACTGATTTTTATTCATTTTTATAACCTTAGCACTCAGCTTATTATAAGAACTCCCCAAACCTAGTTATTACATGAATTCTGCCTTCTAACACAATCTGTCATTCTTATAAATAGTTCTCAAAAGTTTGTAGACTCTCCATCATACTCTTCAGTCCAAAAAGTGTGCCTTCTCCTGGTCCTTATAGCCAAAAACATCCCCTTCAAGTTCTCACAACCTCCTACTGAGTATCATGTTGCTTAAGGCAACTGCCTGTAATAAACACACTCAACTGACTGGCAACCATAGGTTCCCAAGAGCCAGGAAAAAAAAAGGGGGGAGTGTTGAAGAAAGGAGAGGCAGCATATTTAAATTTCCTTTGGATGCACTCGCTGATTTTCCTCGGTCCTTGACTATGTGACCCACTGCTTATATTCGGGGCTCCTTTCCTTTATATGATTAACACTCCAGCAAACACTCCACTTGACGGAAAGTGGCTTTCTTTGTAGTAATGACACATTTACATTATTGGGAAATACGAGAACACAGAAGGGAAAAAACAAGAACGAAAAGATTTTGAAGCATTGCTGAAATAGTAGTTTGATACTACCAACTGTACAGGACTATATACAATGTTTAAATTTCTTTATTTAGTGCAGGTTGATCATCTGTCCCTCCAAAGAGGTAATTCTGGAGATCTACAGTTAATCCATCTGCTTTCTCAAAACTAATACTAACTTTTGAGAGCCTCCCACTGTAATCAACACATAATCATCCCACATGCTCTTTGAAGATGATATTCTTTCTTCCTTCAGATTCAGGAAGTTTTTTTAAAAAAAAGGCTTTTCAATCAAATCTTTACATAGTTAAGATTTACCACCTTTCCATAATCTAACCTACCCAAGATTGTCAATGATTGACTTTTCTGCTTGGGAGACATACTGGTATCTGTGCTGAGATTTTGGCCATAAATGGTAAGTATTATAGTGAAAATTATGTTTGTCATGAAGAATTTATTGTGGTAAATATTTTTTTGCTGACAAGTTATAATAGGGAATATTAGAAAGGAGCAGCTGGGAAAGAAGAGCTGGTTTCACTGCAACTCAAATATCCCTAACTGGCCAACTGGTGTTCAAAAGAACCTGGCAGAAAAAGCCCTAACATTCAGAAGGACACATGAAGCTGACGGCAAGATGACAGTAACCATTAAGATTATTTGTCTCTTTACTCTGCAAGTATACTTCATAAGCAAACTTCTGATACCAGTGCCTTGTCAAGCCTATATAAACCCCTTTTTGGAAACACTCCAGTCTCTCCCTTGCTAGAACGCCACTTACTCTTCTTTAAACCCATATTCTTCCCCTAATCTCCGCACCCCCTTTTAATTACCAACTTTTCTACCAGACTTTTTGAAAGAACTGTTAGTATTCACAGTCTTCATTTTCTTACTTTTCATTCAGATCCCAATCCACTGAGCTGGGCTTCTAGAACAAAGACTGTAATTGCTCTTGCTATCCCAGTGGGGTTTTTATTCCCCACAGTGGGTTTTAATTGCCAAATTCAAAGGATACTTTTCAGGCCCTGCATTATTGGACTTCTTCATAGAAGTTTACAGTAAGGTGACATGCATTTACTGAAGACCTCATTTCCTTCAACTCCCATGATATCATGCCCTTCTAGGTCTTTTCCTATGTCTCTGAACAATCTTCTTCGGTCTCTCCTGGAGTTTTCCCCCCTCACTCCCCATCCCTCAACATTTTATTTTTTTTAAGATTGATTTATTCATTTTAGAGAGGAGGGAGGGGCCATGGGAGGGAAATCCTCAAGCAGACTCGCCACTGAGTGGGAAGCCTGAGGTGGGGTTCGATCCCAGGACCTGGAGGTCACGACCTGAGCCAAAATCAAGAGTCAGACGCCTAAATGACTGAGCCACCCAGGCACCCCAGATCCCTCAACATTTTAAAAGCCATTTCCGTAGGTTTTACCTCTTAGCCTACTGTTCTCTTCATTCTGTAGATGCTCTCTAAATTTGTCCACACACTCTCATGAGACCTGTATCATCAGCTAACAACCCCTAACCCATCTCTTGCCCCAAACCTCTCTGCCCAGAGCTTCCACTATTACTGGACTCCAGGGAGATGTGCACCATAGCTCCTCAGAGCAGAGCACCCGCACCTCACCTTATTACTTTCCCAACTGCTTGTCTGACTCTAGAACCTTGGTCACTGCCTCAATCTCCGCCAATTACCCACCCTTCTCTAGAAAGCCTTAACTCCCCTTCCTCACTTTCATTTCATTAATCACTGGCAGAGTCCTGCCGTTTTTACCTGCTATATAGCTTGCTATTCTATTTCACTCTTAAAATGAGTATTCACTGTGTTTTAATGCTCCAAAAAACACTTAATTACCTATGCTTTCCACATGTTATTTTTTAATCATACATTGGTGAATGTGGTTACTTCCTCAATATTCTCATCACCACCTTCCTTTGGTTTCTTACTATCCCATTACAACTTAATTCTTCCAAAAATTTTTTTTCTGACTCCCTACTCTACATCAAACTGGGGTAGATCTCCATCATCTGTACTCCTTTAACACCCTAATTATATATCAATCATTGCCCTGAAATTGGAATACTTTGTTTGCATACCTGTCTTCACCACTAGACTTTATTTCCCTTAACTCTTTTATCTCCAGTGCTTATCTCAGCATGTGTAACCCACGAGGTGCATACAAACTGCTCACCAAGTTAAGAGATGCATTTATTTATTCACCGACTTCTTTGCCCAGGTAGACTTTCCTAGTCCACGAGCAAAATACAGAACAGCCACCATGTTATAATCTATTTGGCAATGATATTCCTCAAGAAAAGGGAGGACACTAGCAATTCGGTGTATTTATCAGCCTCTCATGAGATAAGTTAAAATTCACAGGTTTTTGAAATCTGGATTCTCTGGGCCAACTTAGTAGAAAAATAACACCTCTACCAGGCCCTCGGCTAGACTCATGGGACTCAGCCCAGCACAGCCTGTCCTCATTCCTACCTCTGATCCCCAACAGGGCACACACAGATCTTGGCCATTTGCGTCAGGCATGGGAAGGTTCTATCTGTGTGTCAGAACAAAGCTGCTCCCGCTCACCTGTAACATGGAATTGTGTTTTGGATTATGGCATGAGCCATGAGACATCAGGCCCTAAAAACTGTATACGAACTGCCTCCGATTGAGAGATGGTGTTATTAAAGTAAGATTAGATGGTGGTCTGACTCTCAGGTAGCACTACAATTGGCTCTGCAATTCTTTGTTATGACACTCCCTTCAAAACAGTGACATCCATGTATGGTTTTATATTGCCTTTGAACTACAGCACTGCCCAATATATGCAATATACCACATTACGGCCCAATTGAAAACTTATTTCATGATAAAGGGAGATAAGTTAACAGAACACTGTGTTTCTATAGCTGAGAAATAAATGAATTATAGGCTTGCCATTTCAGGACTTTGTGGGGAGAAGTGCAATACGGCAAAAATGACTATCAGCTGGAGTGATATTCAGGAATATATTAATTCTGGTAAGGCTCAGGCAAACTCTAGCATGTTCAATAGGTGATAGTGAATAATGGCCACTGTAGTATCAACAATGGCAATACTTAACGCCTGGTACAAGTGCTCTGCACTTTCAGAGTGGACGTGGAGCTAGGACGCGCAAAGTAGGACACTGTTGTTAACACTCCAGCCTTCCTGAGGTTTATTCTCGGGGAAACATGAACACAGTGTGTAATAAATCTACCGGTGCCTGTGCACCCTTGAGATTTAGGCCTGAATACACTCTGTGTGAAAAATGTATTTGTGAATACATTTCTAATCTTGATTCTCTCTGCAAAACACCCTGGCACTGCCTGGGGTGGGGGTTAGTGATTTATATTTATATCCCTTCTCTTTTTAATTCCCATCATCCTGCCCATTTTAATTGTGTTTCTTGACACCATCTTTCTCCTAAGAGGTATTCTTTAACGTTGGTTTTATGTTCCTTGCTCCTGACCTCATGCCACCACTCAGATCTGGATCTGCCCAGGAATACAAGACACTGATGGCGCCACCGCATGGGCCCCTGGCCCCTGCAGATGGGGGGGGGGGAAGGAATCAGAGGAACCTGAAAGGTGCTGCGTGAACCTTCAAAATCTTCACCATCTTCTCCTAAATCTCCCTAGACCCTAAAGCAGAACCAGGAAGTGAAATTAAAATGAGATGAGCACACTCCCCACAATTCCACTCTTACTGTTCATATTTGGAAACTAGTTCATGGCCAAGCCTGGATATGCATTTGGAGCATGGAACAGTAACAGTGACTGTACTGGTTTCATTGGCAGCATAACCAGGCACATGGAAAACGGCTCTAGGTTTGAACACCACTCGAGCCAGCAGTCTTGACATCCGCACATCCTGTGTTGCCACTGACAATAGGGCAAAAGATTTTTGACCAAAATGAGATGATCGGTCCCATTGTAAGTAGTCTATTTAATCACTGCCAGTGTGGGTGTAAGACTGACACTAGGGAATATAAATAGCTATTCTCAAACTTTCTCTCTGGTCCCTTGCCTCCAATTCCCTTGGTATACCAGATGCTTTTCAGTTCAGCACAACACACAGACCTACTACCATCCAAACAGTCTATTGCGTCATTAACTTCAGGTAAGGAGGAGGAAGTGACCAGGGTAACACAGCTCAATCTTATAATATCAAATCATTTTGCTATTTGTGGTAACAAGTAATGTGAGTTATAACAACAGTGACAAAGACTTTCTCTGGTTTAAGTACCTTATCCCTTTCATCATTCTCGAAGTAGCTGTGGAAATCAGTTCATCCAATTACCTGTCCCAGAAAGAGGTACATCATTTAAAAGTGTACTTGATAACCCAGTGAGTTAAAATTTTGAGAAATTCCAGGCATTACAATTCAGTAAAACATAAACACTTCTGGAAGTGGGAAGCCTTGAGTATGAAGGGGACAGGTCAGCCTGGCTCAAGAGTGTGGCCTGGAATCCGTTTCTGAGAGTGGCCCCTGGCATTTCAAAGCTCCTTTGTTTCTTCTGTGTATGGACCCACAGATTTTTCTACAAGTTCATTTTTTTCCTTTCCTTGTCCCTCCCAGTGGTGTGGGGATGACAGGCAGCCTGGGGCAAGATGGTGACGGCCAAGCTGTTTGTACATATGCACAGGTCTGTTATACACGAGGTATTTTTCAGTCCTGGGATAAATTCACAAAACATGTGTTTTTCTCTAGAGCTCCTTGTTGCCATTTTAAACCCTTCAGGTGCTACTGAGTGTGTTTCCAAGGCTGTCAGGATCCACAAAAGACCTTCTGCAGAGAAGATTTTTGAATGATCACATTATAGTCCTAACTGAAGCTGAGTAGTTCATGGCCCTCTGAAGCTGACAGTGAAATATGCCATTCTCGGAGCACGTGTCCCTTATCAGAGCCACTTAAGGTAACAACGTCCTACAAAAAGGCTCTCTAGGTCTCTGAAGGTACAGAGCCCTCATTACTCCCACCGTTAAGGAGAGCTTTGGACCACTTTTGGGAATGCAAATGAATGAAACCCCATGTGACAGCTGTAATAAAAGGCTCCTGTCTTTTTGCAAAACATTCAAATGCCATCTGGCAATTTCGTTGACGTCAGCAGGCACAGAAAAACAACTGCCCCCACGGCCTTCTTCATCATTCCCTTCCACCCCCAACTCGGCTCTCCCCTCCTCCCTGGCAAGAAGCTCCAACTTTTAGTAGTGCAGACGGACAGGAGCAAGGTAGTCATTTTATAAGATTTGCTCTATTTCTTGTCTGCTCCGTTTCAAGAACCCGCTTTCTCATCAGAACAGCAGTGGTACTTGGCCCCAGCTCTCCAAATTCCAGTTAGAGGATCATTTCATTAAAGAGAAATTTTGAAGTCTTTTCTATTTGTGTTTTAGGGCTTGAAGTACATTTATTCCAAGACTAGAGGTGTTAAGGAAAACTATGAATCTGACTTCTGATTTCCACACATGCTCTCTTTGATCCCTGTGAACAAACACCCAGCGTCACACTAAGAATACCTCTGCAGCCCTAGGCTGAGAGCTTACACGTCTGCATATGTCTTCTAATAGTTCACTAGAAGCTTAGGTGGACAGATTTTTCTTTCAGTGGTAGAAATCATAGGATATAGTTACCAAGCTCTTTTGCCTTAGCTGTAACTCCATGGAAAACATATTCTTCTAAATTACTGAACAAAAAGCAAGTCAACTAAATGTTTGTACCTTGTCAAACAAACACAATTACAAAAGAAACACTCGTCCAACACAAATCCCTTCCAGAAGCTCTAATTAAAACAAAATAAAGCAAACAAAAAACCTACTCATATTTACATGTAGTATAAAAGAGGATAGACGTTTTAAATTATTATTGCCTATTATGGCTTTTTGTTTACAGGGGAGAAGCTGGACACTCACAATACCTAGTCTGTTCCCGGAAATGGGCAAGCGCTATTAACTATAAAGAGTAAACTGGTCTCATTAAAAGCCAATTAACCAGCTCCTTTTTAGGCTTCAAATACCTTGCTTTCAAGGCAAAAGCATACACATTTGACTCAGATAATTTTATCCATATCACTGATAGATACTACTCACCTCGGCAGACCTTTATCAAATGTAAAAGATTTTGGAAAACCAATTTTATATCTTAAGGATAAGTCCATTAAATAAGATTAACCAATCTTGGTATTGCTTAGATATATTACTGTCGACCTAATACTTCACCTTTCCCAAAAATTTCGCTTGTTCATTTTTTAAAAAATTTAAACATCTAATATTGAAAAGAACTTTTAACATCATTTTTCCAATTATAATTTCTCATGAAAATACACTCATCCCGTAAGTTAGGTGAGCGATGGTGAAGTACAGAGAGCACTATGCGTGTTCTAGGCGGACTTCTTTTCAACACCTCCCTCTTACGTATTAAACTTTTTACCCTGTTACTACTCACTTGCGGAATAGGATACCGTCCCATTAGTAGAAAGAGCAAACTCAGTTAACGGATGCATGGCGGTTGGGGTTAGGAGAGAAGAAATAATGGGAGGGATGTAGATTTCGAAAACATGCTCCCATAACTCTAAAAGGGAGCATGGCATATCCAAACTGAGGTCTTGTAAGACTGAGCTCTTCTCTCCCCATTGGTTTCAACATGACTCTTGCCATCCTTTTTCTTTTTATAAACTATCTGTGGTTTGTTCTTCTCAACAGGCTGTCGCGTGCCTCTGGATTATGTCGTTTGCCCTACCCAGAAGACCTATCGCCTTGTCAAGTCTTCCTGCTTATCTTTTAAGCTTTTAGCTCAGCAAGTCCGGTCCTCCAGAAGGCCTTTGCTGACCCATGTCTGCTGTGCTTTGCAAATGCCCTGTGCACACACCCTCATTTTATTTTCCACATTTGATGGTGCATGTCCATTTGCCCATAGATGTGTGAACCTCAGTAAGGGACAGGGAGACTTACTCACCTTTGTGTCCTTTGCCCAGCATGATAGTAAGTGTTCAATGGATGGCTATGGAAGGAGTAAAAGAAAGGAAAGAAGGCAAGACAAGCACAACAAAGAAAAAAAAGAATTCAAAAGATAACTTGTTTATAGCTGGAGAAAAACACCTAGGATGTATTGAACATGTATTATGTGCCTAGTAACGTGCTAGGTATTTTCACACCTTATCCCATTTAGTAACAACAAAACAAAAACCTGATAAGTGCAAATTGTTATTACCATTTACAAAAGAAGAATCAGATTCAGGGAGATTCTGTGAACCGCTGAAGGCCCCTCAACGGGCGAACGGTGGTGGCCGAATGGAATGCAGGTATGTGGACACTGTAGCTTTTATAAGACATTTAATACCTTCTGTTGTTTTGCTGAAGGCAGAAGGGGGAACGGGAAAGAGAAGGCAAGGAAATGAATACTCTGTTATTAAAGTTGAAGTAAATCTTGAAAAGTCTAAGAATAAATCCATTAGGGCACAAGATAAAACTCAACAAGGTACATTTGGAAAAAACCAACTCGGGGCTAAGCCTAAACTGTGCTTCAGTTCCAAGACTCCATCTGGATTTCTCACAGCTCCCTGGAACAAAAGGTCATTAGCAGCTGCTGATTTAGAGGCAACATCTTCACTGAACGTATAAACTAAGCAAGTTTTTCAAAAACACCCGTCACTTGGTAACTATTGTTTTTTCTGAGCTGTGTGTATTGGTTTAAGGATGGAAAATAAGAAACTCAGGAGGCCCTGGCAGAATCAGGCAAAGGAAAATATCAATTTAGCAAATGGAGAAAGAATAAGATCAAGGAACAATTAGATTTGTATCTTTAAGCTTTTAATAATGGGGAAAAGGTCTAATATGCTTTCTAGAAAGTATTAAATAAAACATAGAAGCAAAGAATGTTCTGCGTGCCTCACCTAATCATAACTGCCTTTAAGTTAAAACTACTTTTCTTCTAATAAAATAGCAGAGAAAACAAGAGAACAGACTCTAAAACGGTCCAGAAAATAGTTAACACGTTTTCAGAGGAAGGAAAGCAAGGACACAAAAGATAAAAATCACCAGAAAAAGAAGATATTCAAAATTTTAATGGCACACTTGAGACAGATCCATTAGACAGAACAAGCTTTGTCTTGTCTAAGACCTAGCCTGAGTCTGAGTCAACATAAAACATCTCCTACTCATTTGGTAGTCATTCCTAGGATTGTAATGTAAGAAAAGACAAGAGAACTTATACAACAGTCTTAATAATCACTGTAAAAAAATAATATTTTCATCAAGAGTCTGGCATTACTACATCAAGTTAGGAATACTGCTTGCTACCAAGGAACAATCAGTACGTGTGGAGCCTGTCAAGGTGAAGTAGGAGGTCCTGATATTGGGCAATGATGCTGCTAAACCTTACATAGATGGAAACATTCTAGAGATACAAGAAACTTAAGGGGATCACATTCATGTGGCAATAATTTTATGTTCCACTCCCTTTGACCAACAATTAGGGATTCTGTGTCATGTCATGCACTATCTAATATAGTTTCTTGGGCAGCTGACCAAAATCGATAATTTCCTGACCACATTATCATACGACTTTTGAGCTGATAACATTTTATCCCACTTACATGTGAATCTCTCATGACTTACTATTCCAGAGTTTGATTTTATTGTTACCTCACAAAGAGAAATTCTGGACCCTATAACATCGAGGGTCATACTTTTGACAAGGGACACTGTGCCCATCTGTGTGACTCTGCTAAACAAGAGCAATCCATCTTTCTGGGGATCCTCTTTTGTTGAAATCAACAAGGACTTCCCCACTTCAAAAGCAGTCTCTTTTTATACTGAAAGGCTGGAGTCATTAGAAGACTTTCCTGAACCTGGGCTGAGACAGGCCCTCGCCAGTCAGCTCTCATTCTGTCCTCTTCAGTCCAACGCCTTTTTGTATTCACAGCTCTCCACAGAAACTAAGTGGCTTTCCTGTTCTATATTATACTAGAATATATATCTCATACCGTCTGTGTTTTCTCCTACTTGGAGACTATAAAAACGAGAACTGATTTTTTATAGGAACATCAGGAGCTTTTTTTCTTGTTTTAAAGATTTTTATTTTTTTTTTGACAGAGAGAGAGAGACAGCGAGAGAGGGAACACAAGCAAGGGGAGAGGGAGAGGGAGAAGTAGGCTTCCCGCGGAGCAGGGAGCCCGACGCGGGGCTCGATCCCAGGACCCCGGGATCATGACCTGAGCCAAAGGCAGACGCTTAATGACTGAGCCACCCAGGCACCCCTAGAAACATTAGGAGCTTCTTAAAATAATTTCATTGATCAACAAAAAAAGGCAAACAAAAATAATACTGGGAAATTTAATAAAAATTAGCACTTACTGAGGGCTTATTTTATGCCAGGGACTAATTTAACACTTGATATAAATTATGCCATTTAAGTCCTCATATCACCCTGGCAAAAAGGTATTAACATTACACATACCTCACAGAGGAGCTCAGGTTGTTAACACAACCTGCTCAAGGGCACACCTGTTATGAGTGATGGGGCAAGGGGTGATCCCAGGCAGTCTCTCATTCCATGCGACTGGAGCATAAGAGTCTATGCTCCCTTCACCATTATCCTCTCTGTACAGTTCCCCTTAGTGAAATCCAGCTCAAAGAGATTCTTACCAATCCTCTCATTCCAGATGAAATCACCCATGGGAGTGATGGTAAGGCAAATAAAGCAACTCCTTAAGGACGATCTAGAAATCCCTGGAAAAATTCTGTATCTATACTTAGTGTTTCCTGAATTCACAAACATTTATCAAAACTACAGAAAATGTGGGAGATTAAAAAATATTTTCTATATGCAAGAATTTACACCATGCATGCGACAAGTTGGGGGTAAGGAGAGGATTTCAGAATCTGAGTTCTTTTGGGGTGGGAAGGTAATTCCAGCATTCTGGCAGAGGCTTGACTTGGTAAAATTTGAATAGGTTACAAGCAAAAAGCAGTTTCCAGACAATGAGAGGGGAGGGAAAAAGGGACGGAACAGGGAATAGGTCTGCAATTTTGAAACGGTTCTGCAGAGTTCAAGAGTTCCTCAGGGGGTAGTTTCTTAAGAACAGTTTCAGTAATTACTAAAGTTGTCTCCCGCCCCCCCGCATATTAAGATTGTGGGAGAATATTATTTCTAAATGTACTTCTTTTATTTTTTCACCTCTATATTCCATCCTGACTTCACTCTACAACAGTGTGCTTGTTCTCGGGTACAAACAAGAATCATGTCAGAGTGAATATATTCCCACTTACAACACATAAGAGCAAACCCAAAAATGAAAAAAAATCTACGGTCTCAAACATATTGCTATAATATCAATACGTGCATTTGCAATGACTACAGTATTAGATTCTAGCTTGTACCATGGATCAATGGTGACAAACCATTCTAAGTAAAATCTTTGACATATAATGTATATCTCTGTATCACTATAATTTCATGACTTTGGTATTCTGCAATATTTTAAACATAATTTAACAACTAACAATATTCCTGATTATTTACAAAATGACTTTAATTCTTTCCATCAAAATAATTTTCTTTTATATCCATTTTTAAAGCAACAGATCAGAGAATGATATTTCTGTTTGGTCTGAATTTAGAGGGCAATGTCTTTTTGTAAAAATGTGTCTCTAGAAGTTTCTGAATCAGAGAACAGAGACTTGCTAAGAGCATGAAAAATAAAAATCCACCAAACTAAATAATACAAAGAAAAAAAATATTTATAGAATGTAAAATGAAATCTTTAAAGGAGCTTCTCTCCTTAATCTTAGTCAATGGCGCTCCACTTGATTTTAAAATTCTGGTATTTCAGAATTTCTCTACAGATTTTACACTTAGAAACATGTATATATGAATCTACTACATGCTCAATTCCAAAGTAAGAAAAATATTGCAAGCTCTATTATGTTGCTCTGTTTGCAATGTCTATGAGTGTGTTTATTTAACTAGTTTAGCAACAAAGTCTAACATGAGGGGGAAGGCAACAGCTGAGGTGGTGGGGGACATATTTGGCTCCAAGCTATGAAGCATGTTCTCTGTAGTTCCTCATACCTTTCTCACACAATGACCTCTTTCAATATTAGTCACCTGTTGCTTAATGATTCCTTAGTAAAACAAAACAAAACAAAACAAACTAGAATTTTACTTCAAAGTCCTAAGAGTCTGAAAATACTGGGCAATAAGCACTCCATTTGGCATGAAATTTTTACTTGCTATTCTAATTAAATGGAATGTATTTGTCATGGTGATAAACTATTGCTAGTTTGCCTCTATTCTGCTGCTGATGAAGTTCAATATTCAGCGTGCCTTTCATAATTTTAAAAGGAAATTTAGAAAGAACCATCCTCTGCTATTTTTTCCCAAGCCTAAATTAGTTCATTGTAAGAAAGGTTGTTTGAAAATCTCAGTAATAAACAAACCTAGAGGCTATAATTTTCTTGATAGTGGAATCCTCCATTTGCTTCTGAAAGCAATAGGAGGGCA